CGTAGCCTTACGCAAGACAACATTATATTAAATCATTATATGAAACGGATAATAAAAGAATAATAACAATACAACTAACGTGATATTAATTTCGGGTATCATGTTACCAAACATTATTAAAAAAATAAAGCATAATTTATCCACATGATAAAAACATATAATTATATTATCTATGACCTACAACAAAAGATCACACATGCCTACTATAATATGTCACATGTTTACGTATAATATTCTATTGCATGAGTCTCTTGGTTTCAACATCCTCATAGTGCAATACAAACAATATTCATATCACATCAAAGTGACAGATCGAGCATGCAAAACAAAGAGACGAAAAACAAGAAAATCCGAGAGTACAAGAAGATGAAGAATACGACAAAGAAAACAACACAAAGAAGGTATCATCTTTTTAGTTTGTATTCCTCTGTGATAACCAAACATGTATTAGATCTTTAGGTTTTATACTACTTAGGGACTAATCTAAAAGCAGGAAGACATTCTCAATGGAAACAAATGGATCAAGATTTCATTCAATATTAATTAGTATGCTTCTAAATACAAGTTTGTATCTCTATCTTTGTCACCTCCCCCTCCCCCCTTTTAGGTTTAGTACTATTGAAATTGATTTTATGCCTCACATTTATATATAACAAGAGACATACACTTCATTTTGTTCCTGGAGTTCCGTAAAAGAACTTGGAGAAGCATGTGTCCAGCGATAGCTTCTGGTCCGAACTCATCAACGTCATTTTCCGTCTTTAGAAGATCTTTACATCGATAGTGGTTATGAAAACAGTAGCGACAACAACGATAGATAGAAATAACCACACACATGGCCTCAACGTTAACAATGACCTTTGTCATCACCATTCTTAAGGTACTTAACTTTGAACCTTAAGAAAATCAATTTATATGTTAGTCTCTCTTAAAAACAACCATTATTTTGATAGGATTTGGTCATTTGGGAGTAGGAGCGAGAAGTAAACTTTAACATGGCAACTCAAATTTGCTCTAATGATGGGAGGCAAAGCTCATTCGTTCAAGACAATCTCCGTAGTAACACTGCAAATCAGTTACTTGTGATGCATGTTATCCTACCATCGTTTCAGATTATCAATGAGTACTATGACATGGAAAAGT